AATCCATACTTTCCCTAGGCTTTTTAACTTTTTTTAACCCCAAAATTTTTTTCTTTTTTTCAAAAAAATTTTTGACAGTGCCTCCCCCACTCATCATCTCTCCCCTTTTTGCACTCTCTCACCCTCTCTTTACCTTTCTTTTACTCTCCATATACTCTGCTCTTCTTATAACACTTCTGCTTTGTAAAAACCTCTCATAAGCTACCTTTTTCTCTTTTATCACACCCTTTACTTCATCATTCCACCAATCACTCCTCTTTCCTCCTGCCCCCACCCTCCTATAACCACAAACTTCTGCCCCACATTCTAATACTGCATTTTTAAAACTATTCCAACCCTCTTCAACCCCCCCACTACTCATCTTTGCACTAGCCCACCTTTCTGACAATAGTCACTTTATACTCACCCGAACTTCCTCCTCCCTTAGTTTATACACTTTCACCTCCCTCTTACTTGTTGTTGCCACCTTCCTCTTTTCCCATCTACCTCTTACTCTAACTGTAGCTACAACTAAATAATGATCCGATATATCAGTTGCCCCTCTATAAACATGTACATCCTGGAGCCTACCCATCAACCTTTTATCCACCAATACATAATCTAATAACTACTTTCATTACGTGCTACATCATACCTTGTATATTTATTTATCCTCTTTTTCATAAAATATGTATTACTTATTACCAAATCTCTTTCTACACATAGCTCAATTAAAGGCTCCCCATTTACATTTACCCCTGACACCCCAAATTTACCTACTACTCCTCCATAACATTTTTACCCACTTTAGCATTGAAATCCCCAACCACACTTACTCTCACACTTGATTCAAAACTCCCCACGCATTCACTCAACATTTCCCAAATCTCTCTCTCTCCTCTACACTTCTCTCTTCTCCAGGTGCATACACGCTTATTATAACCCACTTTTCACATCCAATCTTTATTTTACTCCACATAATCCTTGAATTAATACATTTATAGTCCCTTTTTTCCTGCCATAGCTTATCCTTCAACATTATTGCTACTCCTTCTTTAGCTCTAACTCTATTTGAAACCCCTGACCTAATCCCATTTATTCCTCTCCACTGAAACTCTCCCACCCCCTTCAGCTTTGTTTCTTGTTCTTGTTTATTTCCTCTTATCTCCATGGGGAAGTGGAGCAGAATTCTTCCTCCATAAGCCATGCGTGTTTTAAGAGGCAACTAAAATGCCGGGAGCAAGGAGCTAGTAACCCCTTCTCCTGTAAAAGTTACAAAATTTAAAAAGAGAAACTTTCATTTTTCTTCTTGGGCCACCCTGCCTTGGTGGGATACGGCCGATTTGTTGAAAGAAGAAAGAATACTGTACTGTATACATGTATAAGTTTAAAGTACTATAATTATGCAACAAAAATTCTAGAAAATTAGTTTTAATACAAAATTATTTTAATATACTAAAGAAATTATGAAAAATTAGTGCTATCAATTTAGTGTACTAAAAAAAATGCAAACATTACCTGAGCACACAGGACATTCCACCATGGCTATGTTACAGTCAGTGTTCAGGGGAGAAGAACCACCACCATTCTCCAAACCATCTTTCATAGAGCCTTTCCTGCCTTTAGATGTACCATATTTATCAAGCGGCTTAGAACCAAGGCAATAACCAGGTGTATTATCGTTATAATTTGTTGAACGTGAAATCCATGTAATTGTTTGGTGCCCATCTTCCTTGGAAGAGAAGCTATTAGATTTATTTTTTGCATTGCCTTCTGGGTTGGGTTTCATCATCTTGAAACACCACTTATGGTTCTTTTTTTTGATGCAGGAGAAATTTGGGCCCCATCATCAATAAGGGAAAAAACCATCTTTTAATACTATCTACATCAAGGCAAATCTTGAGTGTTTACTTTCTCGAAAATGTATAGATTTATTTTTCTTTTTTCCCTTTTTAGGCCCTTTTTCTAATTCCCCGAATTTTAAATTTTGACTGTTTATTTAAAGAAGGCTGTTTGGTTTTTGTTTTTTTTTAGGCCCTTCCCCCCGGGGTTTCTTTTGGGGGTAATACTTTTGGTCAGAGAGAGCAATACTATTCGATGGGAAAGGGCAATACTCAAAAGGGAAAGATTTCATTCTCCCGTAAAAATTCAAACCCGTCACTGCTTTCTTTTTAGGGAGAATTCTTTCATTTTTCAGTAAAAACTTTTGATCTTCCCGGGAAAATTTTTTATCGTTTTAAAGGGAAATTTACCAACGGATGAGGGGTTTTGCTGTAAATTTGCGACTGATTAATTTTTTTTATTGTTCAGTCCATGTGGGATTTGGAAAGGATATTTTTCTTGCTTTTTTTTTCTTTCAGCATTTCATTTGTTTTTACTAAACTTTTTAATTTTTTTTCTTTCCTCTTCTAAATTTATTTTTTTCTGCCCTAAAAAAACCCCTTTTTACTTGATTTAAACAACAGAGTTTTGTTTTTTTCTCCAAACTATCAGCCCCTTTTTTTTGGGAAAAATTGTTCCGGGGCAATATCCCTTTTCCAAAAAACTTTTTCATCATGGCTCAGCTCTTTCTGTCTTGTTTTTCAAAACTGCTTGCGAACACCCGAAAAAAGAGGGGTTTTTTAAATTGTGATGACCTGGGGGACTTTGGAAAAAACAAATACTGAAAAATGTAATGAATGTGTTTCCTTCACGGGTTTACCATACCCTTTGAGGGGAAATAGTGGTTTGGTAATTTTTTTTTTTAAAACACGGGGCCCCCTCCCCCCTGAGGAGGGTGACCCAAAAAAGAAACACTTTCACCATTTTTTTTTCCCCAATAATACTGTTTGCCAGAGGGGGGAAAAACGGGTGGGGTCATCCAAAGGGAAAAGGGAGGAGGAAAGGGGGGAAGGGGTTTTGTGTGTGAGGGGCTTGGACATCCCGTAAGTTTTTGTGTCTGTGTCTGTGTCTTTGTCTGTGTCTGTGTACTCACTAGTTGTACTCACCTAGTTGAGGTTGGGGGGGGTCGAGTCCGAGCTCCTGGCCCCCCCTCTTCACTGATCGCTACTAGGTCACTTCCCTGAGCCGTGAGCTTTATCATACCTCTGCTAAAGCTATGTATGGATCCTGCCTCCACTACATCGCTTCCAAACTATTCCACTTACTGACTACTCTGTGGCTAAAGAAATACTTCCTAACATCCCTGTGATTCATCTGTGTTTTCAGCTTCCAACTGTGTCCCCTTGTTACTGTTCCAATCTCTGGAACATCCCGTTTTTGGGTCCACCTTGTCAATTCCTCTCAGTATTTTGTATGTCGTTATCATGTCCCCCTATCTCTCCCTGTCCTCCAGTGTCGTAGGTTGATTTCCCTTAACCCTCCTATAGGACATACCTCTTAGCTCTGGGACTAGTCTTGTTGCAAACCTTTGCATTTTTCTCTAGTTTTTTTTTACGTGCTTGGCTAGGCGTGGGTTCCAAACTGGTGCCGCATACCCCAATATGGGCCTAACATACACGGTGTACAGGGTCCTGAATGTTTCCTTATTAAGATGTCGGAATGCTGTTCTGGGTTTGCTAGGCGCCCATATGCTGCGCAGTTTTTTGGTTGATGTGCGCTTCAGGAGATGTGCCTGGTGTTATACTCACCCCAAGATCTTTTCTTGAGTGAGGTTTGTATTTCTTGGCCCCCTAGACTGTACTCCGTCTGCGGTCTTCTTTGCCCTTCCCAATCTTCATGACTTTGCACTTGGTGGGATTGAACTCCAGGAGCCAATTGCTGGACCAGGTCTGCAGCCTGTCCAGATCCCTTTGTAGTTCGGGCCTGGTCTTCGATCGAGTGAATTTTCTCATCAACTTCACGTCATCTGCAAACGGGGACACCTCAGAGTCTATTCCTTCCATCATGTCGTTCACAAATCCCAGAACAGCACTGGTCCTAGGACTGACCCCTGTGGGACCCGCTGGTCACAGGTGCCCCACTCTGACGCCTCGCCACGTACCATGGGCTCGCTGCTGTCTTCCTGACATGTATTCCTGATCCATTGTAGTGCCTTCCCTGTTATCCCTGCTTGGTCCTCCAAAAGAGAGAGAGAGAGAGAAAAGAGAGAGAGAGAGGAGAGAGAGAGAGAGAGATGAGAGAGAGAGAGAAGAGAAGAGAGAGGAGAGGGTGTGTGAGAGTGTGAGAGAGACAGAGAGTGTGAGAGAGAGTGTGAGAGTGTGAGAGAGAGTGGAGAGTGTGAGAGAGAGAGTGTGAGAGAGAGTGTGAGAGAGAGAGAGAGTGTGAGAGAGAGTGTGTGAGAGAGAGAGAGTGTGTGAGAGAGAGAGAGTGTAGGAGAGAGAGACAGTGGAGAGAGAGAGAGTGTGTGAGAGAGAGAGAGAGGTGTGAGAGAGAGAGAGAGTGTGAGAGAGAGAGAGAGTGTGGGGAGAGAGAGAGAGTGTGAGAGAGAGTGTGTGTGAGAGAGAGAGAGTGTGAGAGAGAGAGTGTGAGAGAGAGAGAGAGTGTGAGAGTGTTTAGAGAGAGTGAGAGAGAGTGTGAGAGAGAGTGTGAGAGAGGTGTGAGAGAGAGAGTGTGAGAGAGAGAGAGAGTGTGGTAGAGAGAGAGAGAGAGTGTGAGAGAGAGTGTGAGAGAGAGAGAGTGAGTGTGAGAGAGAGAGTGTGAGAGGAGAGTGTGAGAGAGAGAGTGTGAGAGAGTGTGAGAGAGAGAGTGAGAGAGAGAGAGAGAGTGTGAGAGAGAGAGTGTAAGAGAGAGAGTGTGAGAGAGAGAGAGAGTGTGAGAGTGTGAGAGGAGAGAGAGTTGGGGAGGGGAGAGAGAGAAAAGGTGTGAGAGAGAGAGAGGGGTTGTGGAGAGAGAGAGAGAGAGTGTGAGAGAGAGTGTGAGAGAGTGTGAGAAGGGGGTGTGAGAGAGGGTGTGAGAGAGAGAGTGTGAGAGAGTGTGGAGAGTGTGAGGAGAGAGAGAGGGGTGAGAGAGAGAGGGGAGTGGAGAGGAGAGTGTGAGAGAGTGTGAGAGAGAGAGAGTGTGAGAGAGGTGAGAGAGGTTGGAGGGGAGAGAGAGTGTGAGAGAGAGAGAGTTAAAGAGAGAGAGAGTGTGGAGGAAGAGAGAGTGTGAAGAGAGAGGAGTGTGGGGGGGGGAAGAGAAGAGAGTGTGGAGAGAGAGAGATGAGAGAGAGAGTGTGAGAGAGAGGTGGGGAGAGAGAGAGAGTGTGAGAGAGAGAGAGAGTGTGAGAGAGAGAGGAGTGTGAGAGAGGAGAGAGGTGAGAGAGAGGCAAAGGGGAAAAGAGAGAGTGTGGAGGAGAGAGAGTGTGAGAGAGAGAGGTGAGGTGAGTGTGAGGAAGGTGTGGATGAGGGAAAGGAGATTTGGGGGGTGGTGGGGAGGAGGGGGAGGAAGGAAGAGAGGAGGAGAGAGAGAGAGGAGGAGAGAGGGGAGAGAGAGAGAGAGAGAGGGAGAAAGAGAGAGAGGGTGGAGGAGAGAGTGTGAGAGAGAGAAGGGGGAGAGAGAGAGACGGTGAGAGAGAGTGTGAGAGTGAGGTGAGAAGGTGTGGTGTGAGAGAGTGTGGGAGAGAGAGAGAGAGAGGAGAGAGAGGAGGAGGAGAGAAGAGAGAGGAGAGTGTGAGTGATGTGGTTGAGTGGTGAGTGGTGTGAGTGGTGTGAGTGAGTGTGGTGAGGAGAAGGGGGAGTGTGGAGAGTGTGAAGATTTTGAGAGGGAGTGAGAGAGTGTGAGAGAGGTGAGAGGTGTGAGAGAGTGTGAGAGAGTGTGAGAGAGTGTGAGGGGGGGGAAGGGGGAAGAGTGTGGGGGAGAGTGTGAGAGGTGTGAGGAGTGGGGGAAGAGTGTGGTGAGTGAGTGGGTGGTGAGGTGTGGTGTGTGTGTGTGTTGTTGGTGTGGTTGGGTGTGTTGTGTTTGTGTGTGTGGTGGTGTGTTGAAATTGAGTGAAAGCAAGGGGTTTTTATGATTTTCACTTGCTGTTGAAATGTAAGAAAGGGTAACATTTTTTAAAGGGTTTTTTTTTTCAGGAAAATGGTTAAACCCAGATTTAAAACTTGGGGGTGGGAAGCACATTCCCTGCACTTGGAGGAGGGATGGGGATATTTGCGTTAGGAGTTTTCTTTGGGTTGTAGTCCTGCATCCCTTGGCAAGACAGTGTATGGTGAATGATGGTGAAATGTTTTCCCTTTTTTTGGGTTTTCCTTTATGGGGGGCAGCTGGTGTGTTAAAAAAAAAAAAATTACCATAGTACTGTATTATTATTTTGATATTTGTAAGATGTTTTAATTCCATCTACATCAATAATAGTTGATCTCAAAATTTTCTTTCTTTACCTTACCTAAAACTTTGAGAGAATATATATCCTCCAAAGACAGGTTCAGAGAGATGAGGAACTCAAGAGCTTCACATTCCAATTCTGACTTGTGAATATCTGCCCCCATCTTAGCTGTAAAAAAAAAATATTATTTTAAGAGAAAAGACCACATTAGCTGTTAAGACATACAGAAAAGGCAAGTAAATACTGTACATACAGTTGTATTCTGCTGTAGCTGGTGTTTCCTACCTTTATGCAGCAAGTAAATACATTTGTATCTGGTGTTTCCTAACTTTATGCACCAGATGTCTGTGTATATCTACATATCTTTGGTTAGGCCTCATTTAGATTACGCTGCACAGTTTTGGTCACCATATTAGAGAATGGATATAAATGCACTGGAAAATGTACAAAGGAGGATCACAAAGTTGATCCCATGTATCAGAAATCTTCCCTATGAGAATAGATTGAAGGCCCTGAATCTGCACTCTCTAGAAAGTCACAGAATTAGGGGGGATATGACTGAGGTGTATAAATGGAAAACAGGAATGAATAAAGGGGATGTAAATAGCATGCTAAAAATATCTAGCCTGAACAGGACTTGCATCAATGGCTTTAAGCCGGAAAAATTCTGATTCAGGAAGGATATAGGAAAGCACTGGTTTGGTAATAGAGTTGTGGATGAGTGGAACAAACTCCCGAGTACCGTCATAGAGGCTAAGATGTTGTGTAGTTTTAAAACTAGGTTAGATAAATACACGAGTGAGTGTGGGTGGGTGTGAGTTTGACCTGACTAGCCTGAGCTACTAGGTCAGATGCCGTGCTCCTTCCTTAAGTGAACGTAACCTGACCTGACCTGACTAGGTAGAGGCATTGGCTTAAGCCAGTAGGAAAACTGGACCTGCCTCACATAGGCCAGTAGGCCTGCTGAAGTGTTACTTCTTTCTTATGCTCTTCTCATATGTACTATTAGATAGATGACATCCAATATTTGTAAAAATTATGTATATTGTGGACATAAACTAAAATTATTACCATACTGTTGTTATTGTTATGGTTTATTATTTTTTTTATTATTTTTTTTTTTTTCAACAAGTCGGCCGTCTCCCACCGAGGCAGGGTGACCCAAAAAAGAAAGAAAATCCCCAAAAAGAAAATACTTTCATCATCATTCAACACTTTCACCACACTCACACATTATCACTGTTTTTGCAGAGGTGCTCATAGTACAACAGATTAGAAGCATATACGTATAAAGATACTCAACATATCCCTCCAAACTGCCAATATCCCAAACCCCTCCTTTAAAGTGCAGGCATTGTACTTCCCATTTCCAGGACTCAAGTCCGAATATATGAAAAATAACCGGTTTCCCTGAATCCCTTCACTAAATATTACCCTGTCACACTCCAACAGATCGTTTAGGCCCAAGTATCATTCGTCTTTATTCACTCTATCTAACACGCTCATGCACGCTTGGGTGGAAGTCCAAGCCCCTCGCCACAAAACCTCCTTTACCCCCCCTTTCCAACCCTTTTGAGGACGACCCCTACCCCCCTTCCTTCCCCTATAGATTTATATGCTTTCCCTGTCATTCTACTTTGATCCATTCTCTCTAAATGACCAAACCACCTCAACAACCCCTCTTCTGCCCTCTGACTAATGCTTTTATTAACTCCACACCTTCTCCCAATTTCCACCCCCGAATTTTTGCATAATATTTACACCCCCACATTGCCCTTAGACAGGACATCTCCACTGCCTCCAACCGTCTCCTCGCTGCTGCATTTCCACCCAAGCTTCACATCCATATAAGAGTGTTGGTATACTATTCCTTTATACATTCCTTCTTTGCCTCCATAGATAACGTTTTTTGACTCCACATATACCTCAACGCACCACACACCTTTTTTCCCTCATCAATTCTATGATTAACCTCATCCTTCATAAAAACCATCCACCGAATGTCAACTCCCAAGTATCTGAAAACATTCACTTCTTCCATACTCCTCCCCCCCAAATTGATATCCAATTTTTCTTTATCTAAATCATTTGTAACCCCTTTTCACCTACTCTTTTCTATGTTCACTTTCAACTTTCTACCTTTACACACATTCTCAAACTCATCCACTAACCTTTGCAATTTTTCTTTAGAATCTCCCATAAGCACAGTATCATCAGCAAAAAGTAACTGTGCCCAATTCCCATTTTGAATTTGTTTCCCCCATAATTTAACTCCACCCCTCTCCCGAACACCCTAGCATTTACTTCTTTTACAACCCCATCTATAAATATTTTAAACAACCATGGTGACATTACACATCCCTGTCAAGACCTACTTTTAACCGGGAAGTATTTTCCCTCTCTTCTACATCCCCTAACCTGAGCCTCACTATCCTCATAAAAACTCTTAACGCATTTAGTTAACTTACCACCTATTCCATATACTTGCAACATCTGCCACATTGCTCCTCTATCCACTCTATCATATGCCTTTTTAAATCCAAAAAATGCAATAATAACTTCCCTACCTTTATCAAAAATACTGTTCACTATATGCTTCAATGTAAACACTTGATCAACACATCCCCTACCCACCTGAAGCCTCCTTGCTCATCGCAATCCTACTTTCTGTCTTACCTCTATTCTTTCAATTATAACCCTACCGTATACTTTTCCTGGTATACTCAGTAAACTTATTCCCCTATAATTTTTACAATCTCTTTTGTCCCCTTTCCCTTTTATTAAAGGAACTTACATGCTCTCTGCCAATCCCTAGGTAAACCCTTTCCCCCCTTTTATACATTTATTGAACCCAAAAATACCCAAACCACTCCAACACATATATCCCCCCCTGCTTTTAAACATTTTTTGTCATGATCCTATCAGTTCCAGCTGCTTTACCCCCTTTCATTCTACTAATGCCTCACGTACCTTTCCCCCACACTTACATTCTGTCTTCTTCACTCCTAAAGATGGTATACCCCCCTGGCCAGTGCATGAAATTACCGCTTCCCTTTCTTCCTCAACATTTAAAGTTCCTCAAAATATTCTCGCCATCTACCTAATACCTCCCTTTTCCCCATCTACTAATCCCCCACTCTGTTTTTAACTGACAAATCCATACTTTCCTAGGCTTTCTTAACTTGTTTAAACTCCACTCCAAAATTTTTTCTTATTTTCATTTAAAATTTTTTTGACAGTGCCTCTCCCCCTCTATCATCTGCTCTCCTTTTGCACTCTCTCACCACTCTCTTCACCTTTCTTTTACTCTCCATATACTCTGCTCTTCTTATAACACTTCTGCTTTTTTAAAAACCTTTCATAAGCTACCTTTTTCTCTTTTATCACACCTTTACTTCATCATTCCCCCAATCACTCCTCTTTCCCCCTGCCCCACCCTCCTATAACCACAAACTTTTGCCCCACATTCTAATACTGCATTTTTAAAACTATTCCAACCCTCTTCAACCCCCCCACTACATCTTTGCATAGCCCACCTTTCTGCCAATAGTCGCTTATATCTCACCGAACTTCCTCCTCCCTTAGTTTTATACACTTTCACCTCCCTTTATTGTTGTTGCCCCCCTTCCTCTTTTCCCATCTACCCTCTTACTCTAGCTGTAGCTACAACTAAATAATGATCCGATATATCAGTTGCCCCTCTATAAACATGTACATCCTGGAGCCTACCCATCAACCTTTTATCCACCAATACATAATCTAACAAACTACTTTTATTTACCCTGTACATCATACCTTGTATATTTATTATCCTCTTTTTTATAAAATATGTATTACTTATTACCAAATTTCTTTTACACATAGCTCAATTAAAGGCTTCCCATTTACATTTACCCCCGGCACCCCCAAATTTACTACTACTCCCTCCATAACATTTTTACCCACTTTAGCATTGAAATCCCCAACCACCATTACTCTCACACTTGATTCAAAAATCCCCACGCATTCACTTTAACATTTTTATTATTATTATTTTTTTTTTTTTTTTTCAACAAGTCGGTCGTCTCCCACCGAGGCAGGGTGACCCAAAAAAGAAAGAAAATCCCCAAAAAGAAAATACTTTCATCATCATTCAACACTTTCACCACACTCACACATTATCACTGCTTTTGCAGAGGTGCTCAGAAACAACAGTTTAGAAGCATATACATATAAAGATACACAACATATCCCTCCAAACTGCCAATATTATTATTATTATTATTATTATTATTATTATTATATGCATCTCAGGCCCACAGCAACTGTAGTAATCTCAATTAGGTCATAAACAATTCTTCATTATAGGACTCTTATTTACATTCTGCAAACTATACTGATTGTATAGAGAGAATTTATATAGAATATAGAGCATAGGAAATTACTAGTAGAAATTGGGCATCGCATGAAAATGAATTTGCATATTGTGAACCAGGAATAGAGAGCAGTATAGTATATATTCTGCAACCTCCAATTCATCTGAACAGAAAGTTTCTTGGCTGAGGTTGAGCCCAACATAAAATGCTAGAAATTTTAATTGTGTGTGCTGCCAGTGCATGGTGAACAGGCCTTAGGCAATTTATGTGGGTCTGAGAAAAACTAGCCTAGTATGGGTCAGTAGGCTTGCTGCAGTGTTCCTCCTGTCTTATGTTCTTATGTAATCTCTCTCTCCTTACAAACCCTTAACTGCATTGCTTTTTCTGATACACTGTTCACATTTTATAGCATAAATTATTCAAGCATGGTGGTTTTCAAGAACACAACATGTGTTGTACGACAGCTGACTGTTTATGACTATGTATATGAAAATAAGGCAAAACTATAAAATTTTGGTTATTTTAGCCCTTACAAGCTACCTAAAACTTATAGGATGAGACAGTATATCAACCCTTAAACTGTTTACCAGGTGAGCATACAAAACTAATCACAAACTACTGACCATAGTGGTGGTGACCAGGTTTCCACAAGCAACAGTTCAAGGGTTATTAAAAAAGGTTTATTATTGCATAGTAAATATTAAAATAAACATAGACAATAAACAGTAAAACTGAAAGCACAGAGCTGCATATACTAAAATATTACAAAATGCTCAACATAGGCAGTGATGAATAACAGATAGGATAAAATACTGACAAAATGTGAAATAAGACACATGAGAATGTTAAGATATTTTGTAGAGAAAACATTTCCTCAATAAAATTCCTTGGTTTCTGCTTATACTGCAGAAACCAAAGAGAGAAAAACCTTAATATAAATACACATCAACTCCAGATACTACTAACTTTGTGGTTTTGAAGCCATAGATATCAAGCGACCAGCTCGGGACACAGGCGACATCAGAGGGTTGAGAGGCGGCCCAGCATTTCCCTCCTCACTATTATTCAACACCTTATTTTCCAACCAACCAATTCTAAGAAAAAAAAAAGATCACTAAGAAAAATATAATTTTTTTTTTTTCAACATACCAGCCATATCCCACCAAGGCGGGGTGGCCCAAAAATAAAAGCGAAAGTTTCTCCTTTCAAATTTAGTAATATATACAGGAGAAGGGGTTACTAGCCCCTTGTTCCCCCCCAAAAAAAAAGAAATATATCCGATTATTATAATCATGGGGGAGTGCTAAACCCGTAGGATTATACAGCGCATGTGGGGGGGAGATGGAAGGTATTCAGGCTTAATTCAGGGAACTGGAGCACAGATCAAATTCCCTAGATCAAGAGTCCCCTCACCTGCATCAAGGAACCTCCCTTGAGGGGAAAATATATCTGAGAATAATTAAGTTCAAGAAAACTGATAATATAATGTATAGAAGTTACAATATTATCTGGAAGAAATCACAAGTTCACAAATTGGAAATAAAAACTGGACCACATTTCAGATCACCCTTAGTTCTCTTCCGTTTCTGCAAATGATTTCCTCTTTAAGTACAATGTTAAATGATAAGCCCAATCTTCAGACCTGATCTGACCACTACCTTGATCTTAATTCTTCCTTACATCTTATTCTTACTTTCTCATGACTTAATAATATTCCTGGAGAGACTGGAGCATTGTAGTTTTCATTTTAACTTGTGAGTTTATTGTGAATACTGTACCATGTTGTGCACTATGTGCTACAGTAAAGTATTATACTATCTTCCATGTTTATTACCTCTGGAAATTCTTCTTTCAATGTTACCATGATTTTTTCGTACTGTATCTACATGGATGGGACAAAATTTGAGAGTGAGATAGGTGTCATATTTAGATGCCATTTTATTAGGTGAATCAGAAGTGGGTAGAAGGTAAAAATTTCTGAGTTAAAAGACAAATGAAGAAAAAGAACAAAGTTCGTTTCTGAGGTTAACACGAGTGAATGAATTTAAAATTACGACTGCAAATGAATTTCTTTCTTTCAACAAACCGGCCGTATTCCACCAAAGCAGGGTGCCCCAAAAAGAAAAACAAAAGTTTCACTTTTTAACTTTAGTAATCTATAAAGGAGAAGGGGTTACCAGCCCCTTGCTCCAATGCATATTTTTATGAATAAAAAATGACGCACAGCGTTGTATGTTTGATCATACTTTTGAGAAATCGTTTTTTTCTTCACTTCAGAGAGATTCATTCTAGATACCAATTCATCTTTCTTCAAAGCAGTCTGTGGTGTGTTACTGTCCAGATCTATTATTCTTTTATCAAGGGCTGCTTCAGATGAAACCTGCAAAAAATGTATCAAAAATTAAGCTAATGAGTCACATTTAGTAATAAAGGCATTAATATTGAATCGAAATTATGAAAATCACATATTTTTTTCCCTGAAGTCAGAACATAAAAAATAAAATACTGAAAGTATAAATGAATTAAAATTACATCTATGGAACATGTCCTGAGTGATATAAAAGAATAAATGAAAAACAAGAAAGCATAAGACTTACAGGATAACTAGTGATGGGATCTGACAAAAGATATGAATGAATCAAAATGTCATCTAGTTTTCATTTCCAATTTATGGGGGGGCTTGTAATTTTTTTCCTGCCATGATATTAACATTGATTTTCTTTGCAAATGGAGAATTTAATCAAGGTTTATGTAATTATCTATTTGTGGTTACAGGAGCAGAGATATGCTCATATTAGCTTGCAGTCTCCCAACCTACTATATACCACATAAAGAATAGACCTGCTTATTTAATATCAAACACAACAAAGCAGTAATTATTCTTCATATATATTTGTTCTGACATCAACATATTAATTCTGTTTCCAAATCACTTTAAAATTTCTGCAATGCTAATTTTAACACTGTTTGGTGTCAACAAGACAGGGATCTCGGGTGTATCATGGCATTTTTTTTTTTTTAGCTTGTTGTTTGTGGTTAAATACTGGCAGACCCCACTTTACAGGGCTTCACTTTGCAGCATTTCACTAATACAGCAGTTTTCAGTTATACCCATTCTTCATTCATTCAAACTTTCTACAATAAATATATTCACCACTCAGTGTTTCATTTTATTGTCTGAGTGATTACTCATTTTTCATCAATCAGTGTTTATAATGCTTTAATCCAAGCAACTTATTAGATATTTATATAATAAACACATTACCTAGATGGCAAGCCATTTACCTCAACATTAGTGTGAAGGCGGAAAAGGGAGAGACCAAACTGTGTAGTATCTTTGCGGAAAGGTTGTAAGCACACAACCCTTACTTTATCCCACTTCTCCTTCAGGGCTTCACTACTCAAATCAACTGTAAGCAGCAAAATTTTGTATGATTATTTAAATATTACTGTATTATTAAATTCATGGGAACAGCTAAACCCATAGGGAAATGGGAGGAAATTGGGTTCGAATCCAATGAAGGGAAGAGGTAACTCCAATTTCTTGGATCAGGAGCCTGACTGTTTAGGCAGATATGGGTAATAAAACAAATATTAAATTTGTTCTGTCAACCAACAGTAACAACAGTGAAAATGCTTGGATGATCAGATCATTAAACAAAAAGCATGATCAGATCATTAAACAAAAAGCATGATCAGCAGGAACCATCAATAAGTATGCATCTCAATACAGTAAATGGATATTCATTTCAGTTTATATCATTGGTACAACCTTTTTCACAAAATAAATAGATATTCATTTTGGTTTATATCATTGGTACAAACTTTTTCATGAGTTATAATTTACTTTGTTACAGCTTCAAAATAATCAGTAAAGATATACAACAGTAACATAAATATTTACTTACTTTAGTAAGTTCCTTCTTGACTGCAACTTCAATCTTAATTCATATTTTCCCAAACATTTTCAAAATAGCATTTTTCTAATTTTTATGATCAAATCCTTTGCTTTAATAATTAAACTGCAGCATTTTCTAGCATATACCGTGGTCTGGTGGCAAAAGCTCTTGTTTCACATAGTGAGGGTCTGAGTTCGATTCCCAGCGAAGAGGTGGAAACATTGGGCATGTTTCCTTCCACCGGTTGTACATGTTCACCCATCAGTAAAATAGGTACCTGGGTGTTAGTCGACTGGTGTGGGTCACATCCTGGGACAAAACTGATCTAAACTGCCTGAAATGCTCTGCATAACAAGCAGCTTTCTATATAGCAGTATGTCACTGATGTCAGCTAGGCCTGTATACCTTGTACGGTACATTTTTTCTTTTTTTTAACACATCGGCCGTTTCCCACCAAGGCAAGGTGACCTAAAAATAAAGAAAAGCCCAAAAAGAAAGAAAAATACTTTCATCATCATTCAACACTTTCACCATCACTCATAATCACTGTCTTTGGAGAGGCACTCAGATACGACGGTTTAGAAGTCCCTCCAAATTGCCAATATCCCAAACCACACCTTTAAAGTGCAGGCATTGTACTTCCCATTTCCAGGACTCAAGTCTGGCCTCATCACGCTAACATTCAGTGTATTTCCCTTTAGTCTTTACAATTTCATTATATTTTCATCCATTTCTATAATAACATTCACTAAAAAAAATAGGTCTTATATTTCGAAGGAATGTTGCAAGAACATACGTACATAATTTGTCTCCACTCTTCCCTACTCTTGTAAGTGCTATTCAAAAAGAGGAATATAGACCCCTAATTAAAATATGTCACACAGTGATATTACAATATGCTACCAGTATTTATGTATACCTGCAACACCTGTATGTCCTCAGAACCATTATACAAATTTGTATTACTGTCTGTAAAATCATTTGCAGATTTCTGAAATAGAGCTTATCTTGATGAGGCAATATACTAGTAACCAATGTGGCTATGTGTAAAATCTGGCAGACATTTTGACTCTCTGTACTGTATTTTCCTTGTAGCAGGATTAGAATAGTTAGTAGATGCCCCACATATACAAGAGCTACAAGAATACAGTATGTGGAATGCATGTTAAAAAATAATTGAAAAAATTTCTTTGTTTATAATTACAGCTTCTCTTCACTTAGCAACGTACTTGTTTACCGACAACTCGGACTTACAATGGGTTCTGTGACCAGTATGCATACCTAAATAATGTATATTAGAGCTGATTTCCTCTATTCTGTTTATTACAATACACAGCACTCTACTGTATAAACATTTAAAAATATACTAAAAATGTTCTAAATAGTGCAAAGGTGACATTAAAACAATATCAGAGATGGCTGACACAAACCCACTACCATTATAGTATGCTCCTCACTTAGCGACGAATTCATTTACCGACATGGTCTTAGGAACGGAACTCCATCGTTAAGTGAGGAGACGCTGTACATGTAACCTTCACTGTAGGTCCCCTGCCTGCCACATAAACAAAAACAACAATATAAAACCAACCTGGCTTAAACATGCGCACCGTCGATATATTTCTTCCTGCACGCCACTCTTCTGCTGTCATGAGAGATACCGCAGGCAGTAATGTCACCAAAGGTTGACTTGTTGGCCATGATGACCGCCCCACCTCCACGCTCACCATGACACTCCCAGCATTACCTGCAAACACTTATCATTTATACATATACAGAAGATAACATCTCCGTAAGCCATGTGTGTCATAAATACTGGGAGCAAGGAGTTAGTAACCTGGTCTCCCATACTAAATTTAAAAAGAAAACCTTTTGTTTTTCTTTTAAAGTCACCCTGCCTCAATGGGATATAGCTAGTGTTAAAAAATTAATAATAATAATAAATAACAGTATTTAATAATACTCATTAATATTAACCCTTAAACTGCCCAAACATAGATCTACGTTCACTCGTGTGGCGCTCCGAATGTTTTGAATTATAAAAAAAATCGTTTTTTTCTTTTAATACTAATTTTAAAATAATATACAGTGGAACCTTGGTAGGCAACCTTAATTCATTCCAGAAGGCTGTTTGAGTGCCACTCCGTTTGAGTATCGAACAAGTTCTTCCCAACCAATTTTCCATATGGTTGGATGTTATTACTAATTGTCGTAGGCCCCATGGTGACTTATACGTATATACAGATAATACAAAAAAAAAATGAGGAGAAACACGAAATAGTTTACAGCAAAGTTCTGGTAAGTCGTATTTGTTTGGTCGAGTTCTGAGCTTTGTTCAAGTAGGGAGCTGGCTGTATACCAAGGTTCCACTGTATACTGCATTATTATAATAAAAAAGGAATACTAAACCCTAAAGGTTAAAGAACATAGGAACATAAGAAAGAAAGAACACTGCAGCAGGCCTACTGGCCCATGCGAGGCAGGTCCAAGTCTCCTACCGGCTTAAGCCAATGCCCCAACCTAGTAGTCAATTCAGGTCACATTCACTTAAGGAAGGAGCATGGCATCTGACCTAGTAGCACAAGCTAGTCAGGTCCAACTCACTCACCTGCACCCACTCATGTATTTATCTAACCTATTTTTAAAACTACACAATGTTTTAGCCTCTATAACTGTGCTCGGAAGTTTGTTCCACTCATCCACAACTCTATTACCAAACCAGTGCTTTCCTATATCCTTCCTGAATCTGAATTTTTCCAACTTAAAGCCATTGCTGCGAGTCCTGTCTATGTTAGATATTTTTAGCACGCTATTTGTATCCCCTTTATTTATTCCTGTTTTCCATTTATACACCTCAATCATATCTTCCTAATTCTACGCCTTTCTAGAGAATGCAGATTCAGGACCCTCAGTCTGTCCTCATAGGGAAGATTTCTGATACATGGGATCAACTTTGTCATCCTCCTTTGTATGTTTTCCAGAGCATTTATATCCATTCTGTAATACAGTGACCAAAACTGTGCAGCATAATCTAGATGAGGCCTAACCAAGGATATATAGAGTTGAAGAACAACCTGAGGACTCTATTATTTATGCTTCTTGATATGGAGCCAAGGATTCTGTTTGCTTTATTGCAAACACTTAGATATTACAACAAATATATTAACAATCTGTAAGAGTAAAGATTGCAATAACACTTAACTTTACCGATGCATAGTACATGTATGTATAGTATTAGTAGAAACAGTGAGCCCATTTCCTATTCTTATTAATGATTAGTAAAATAACGGCAATTTCTTACCGATATCAATATAAGTAATTGTGGTGGCCCATTCAAGTTGTAAGTCTGCCTGCAATCGACTCATCTTCTCTGTAGGGTGACTGAGCCATGAGCCACGACCCTTCACCAGGTTTTCCACTGTGTGCCTGGGATCCTGTTGTGCAAGTTAAAGCTTAATTAAATCTAACTTTTATATAAAGCACTAAAATTATGTGGAACATTCAAAGCAATGCCTGGCAGAAACTCAGCTCACAGTCTATATGAACTCAATTTAAGTTGAAATGAACAACTGTCAATGAATAAACAGCAAGACTGATGGGATGCTAGAACCATGGTCCAGAGATTAACAGGTCCAGCACTTTATCATTGGTAAAGCACAGGACCTGTTAATCCCGGGACTATGGTTTGACCCCCACTTTATATGTTAAACTAGCTTAGCAAATGTGTATTGTTTTAAAATGACAGTACTTACATGTGTTAAATTTGAGTTATTCATTAATGCATCACTATACAACAAGTCTGAGGTACGATTACTTAGCATGCTTGTGATTACAATTAAAGAGTACATGGATAAATGAACAACTGTGTGTATAATTGCTGATTAAATATTACACACCTTAAATGAAGAGAAACATTTTTGGTGAAGATCAGTGGTCATGAGAGGTTCTTCTTAAGTGTTATTTGTATATGAACACTACAACTTATAGTGGCATGCAAAACATTTAAACTCTTTTACACCAAACTATGCTCAATTTTGCCTCCAGGTTTGGTGAGTCTGTAACTGACTCCAGAACATTAATACTGTAATACTACAAAAATAACATACCAAAAATATACACTTAATATGAATACATATTAAAAAAAAAGCTGTAGTTGAAGTTTTTATCAATCTTTTATACAGACTCAAATAACCAGCACATAGGAGAAAGAAACTCATGACTGTTTCGGTCCGACTTGAACCATTAACTAGTCCAAGTCAGACCTCATAAGTACAGCCTCTCCTCAGCGACATACTCGTTTACTGACGACTTGGGCTTTTGACAGGCTCTCTGACCAGTATGCATACCTAAATAATGTATATTAGAACTGATTTCCTCTATTCTGTTTGTTACAACATACAATGCACTACAGTATAAACATTTAAAAATATAAAAGAAATGTTATAAATGGTGCAAAGGTAATATTAAAACATTATCAAAGATGGTGACACAAATCCACTACCATTATAGTACATATGCTCCTCACTTAGCAACAAATTCATTTACTGACGTGGTCTTAGGTACAGAACTCCATCGTTAAGTGAGGAGAGGCTATACCTTTCTCCTCTGTGTGGGTTATTTGTATGTTGTTCCAGTCACAGTAATGTGCCCTTTTATTCAAATTCACATTCAAATATTTATTTCTTTGTAAAGCTTAAAATGTGTGGTTTACATATTATAAAATTTTAATTACAAATGCGGCCACTATCGTGCCTAGGCACTTTGAGCAGACTAATACTAATTCTTTTTTTAATACACACATACTGACTGACTGATGTCCTTTATAACAGTTAATATCATGGAGAAGTGGAGCATATATCTGGGTTACATTTTTACTATGGATATACCACAGTAACATATGTTAGGTAAAAGGACACAAGTGCAACTAATGTGACATTTTATTCTGGCAACGTTTCACTCTCCAGGAGTTCTGTCAAGCCATTAAATTTGTTGTACTTGTCCTTTTACCTAACATATTGTCGGAAATTCTACCAACATTAATACAGTAACATGCATCTCATACAGGCACATGCACAAATTCTTTAGTTAACCGGGCTTAAGTCCTATCGACTACAGGAGTGTCATTATGGCTGCAGTTCTCTACACACTAGTGATCAATGGTTGGTTAGTGGGGTTTTAAGCCTAAGAACAACACTAATCATTATGGATGTATGTAACCTTTTCATCACCAGACAATAATACTTGAATCTCTAATACAGGGGTTATAACAAATTTCCAGCATATATATGTTGTAGAATTAAAGCAAACTTCCAGCATATATATATGATGTAAGATTAAAGCAAACTTTCAGCATATATATGATGCATATATCCTGTGAGAGAGCAGTTAATATTTTAATCCCTAAATTTGGGATTAAAATTAACCTGATTTTTTTGGGATTACCCTAGGTAATTTGCACATATATTACTCTGTAAAGTAACTGTAATCGCCTAAACCTGTGTATGATTATATAATTATTATAATCATGGGGAGCGCTAAACCCGTAGGACTAAATTTGTATAACTCCCGTATATGTATCTACTTGGACAAACTTAACTCGGTCATATATTGTTACGCTGTATATAATGACTGTCACACTTCCCATTATTAGCCTTGATAGTTACTAACCTGAGAAGAAAAGGAAGCAACATACTTTACCCGCACCGGAGGCATCGTAAAAAAAACTAAATTTTGGGAAAAAATACTATGAGTTGATCCACATGTTTGTTGTTGTTTTGTTTCTCTCTCCCGCCAAGAGGCACCACCAGCCTAGTTGTGTTTTAAGTTAATTTCTTAAGTGTAAGGATTATAAAGCTAACATGGGCCATTAAGCCTACAACATTCTTATATTCTAAAAACTAGGACATTTTAATTCCTATGATAGGAAATAAAGCCAATTTGCAGTATGCTGCTGTGTATGATAATCTATGTAATTGTATTTGTGTGTACCTAAATAAACTTGCTTTGTATCTAAGGCCTGAGTACATATGGGTTATCGAAGTCTAATACTGCTATACACTAACATCAAGAATACCTACTTTAATTTCTAAAATAGGCATTATCTCTTACTCACCTAGTTGTAATGAGGTATGCCACGAAACATCTAAGGTGGCAAATTGCTTTAATTCATACTACACATCTGTTGCATCAACACTAGTAAGTAAACTACCAGCTGCATCAAATACCTATAACACAGACTCTGATAAGTTTCAAACATACTATACCAATAAAGGGGTAACCCCAAACAGTTGTCAACTAGTAAGTGTATCTCATGACTTTATTCAAAAAGAACTAAGCAGGTTAAACCCAACTAAGAGCACAGGCCCTGAAACATTCCATCTAAGTTCCAAAAGATGGTGCTTTGAACTGTCAATCCCTATTGCCACATAATAAATCTATCAATCACCACTAATACCAGTACCGGGGGGTTTTCAAGGAGGCCAGAGTTACTCCTATCTTCAAAAAAAATAGTAGGTCTGATGTAAGCAACTATAGACCTGTTAGTATACTCAGTATAATATCTAAAATTCTAGAGAGGGCGGTGTATTCTCAAGTAGTTTAGGTACCTTAATGACAACAACATTTTCCATAGCTATCAATCGGGCTTTAGAAGATCCTACTCAAACCCACACCTCCCTTATTAATCTGATGGATTACCTGAGAACTGAAATGTCAAAGGGGAACCTCATAGGCATGTAACCTTAGACCTGAAAAAGGCCTTCGATACTGTCAACCACAATATATTAATGTAATAAACTTTAAACTAAACGGTAAGGTTCTGTAGACTGGTTTAAGTCCTACCTTAAACAACAGGAGACAAATAGTCAAAATCAACAAAACAGAATCAGAACCCCTGCCGATAACATGTGGAGTTCCCCAAGGTAGTATTCTGGGTCCCTTTTTATTCTTTTGTTATGTCAATGATATGCCTATCAGTGGGCAAGTGCAAACTCCTACTGTATGCAGATGACAGTGCTCTGTTAGTGTCAGGGAAAGACCCACAAGATATTGCTAATGTTTTAACACTGGAACGAGTCCTGCAGCAAATGGTTAGTAGACAACAAACATCATTACAACCTAGGGAAAACTGAAGCCATTCCCCTTGGCACGAAACATAAACTGAGAAGGGTAAATAATTTTAATGTTCAATGTAATGGGGGGCCCATCACTTTGGTTCATCAGTAAAATATTTGGAATCCCCTTTGACCCATGCATGTCAGGGGAATTTGATAGGGAACAGTGTAGTAAAGAAAGCGAATGCCAGACTAAAGTTCCTGTATAGACAAGCACAGTGCTACCTACTGAGGCTCGCAGGACTCTATGTCTACCCTTATACAATGCCATATGGATTTTCGCTTGCTCTTCTTGGTACTCTGCCTTGACAAAAAAACTGAAAGAAAAGACTGCAAAACACCCAGAACAAAATCGTAAGATTCATCCCGGGGGTGGGACCAAGAGAACATGTAGGCCAGGATGAATTACAGCAGTTGGATATGCTGAATGTTGAAGACAGAGAAAACAACTGAAGCTAAATCATGTTTATAAAATTGCTCACAAAACAATGTCCAGAATATCTTGCTGTCAATTTTTTTCAAGGCTGGGAACCAAAGCAATCATAGAACTAGGGGAGAGAGCACAACTTTGGGATACCCACAGCAGTGGCCAGGGTTCAAACACCTTTTATTGTACAGCAAAAAGAATGGAACAGACTACCCGCGCATGTCAAAGCCAGTCATAGCGTGAACCAGTTCAAAAAGTGCCAAAAGGTGTCTGATGAATGAGGCTACAGAAAGGGAGGGGAATGATTTTCCTTTTTTTTAAAGGGCTAACATAATGTAAATTTTTTACCTTAATTCCTTGTAATACCCTCGTATTGTAGATTCTTAATCCTTGGGGTCCCGCGATAGTCTTTTTAGTATGATAATAAGATGTTATCTTCATTGTAGAACAATAAGAAAATATTATAACCTTTATACTATAATAATAAGGTAAAAGGACCCCAATGGAAATAAGTCACTCTGACTTTTTTGGGTTATCCTAGGTTCTCTACACATATGCTGCTATATATGATAATTCTATGTAACTGTATTTGTGTATACCTGAATAAACTTACTTACTTACTTACTTGTGGTTGCAGGGGTCGATTCATAGCTCCTGGCCCCGTATCTTCACTGGTCGCTACTGGGTCATTCTCCCTGAACCATGAGCTTTATCATACCTCTGCTTAGGTGTGTGTGTGTGTGTGTGTGTACTCACCTAGTACTCACCTAGTTGAGGTTGCAGGGGTCGAGTCCAAGCTCCTGGCCCCGCCTCTTCACTGGTCGCTACTAGGTCACTCTCCCTGAACCATGAGCTTTATCGTACCTCTACTTAAAGCTATGTATGGATCCTGCCTCCACTACATCGCTTCCCAAACTATTCCACTTCCTGACTACTCTGTGGCTGAAGAAATACTTCCTAACATCCCTTTGATTCATCTGAGTCTTCAACTTCCAATTGTGACCTCTTGTGTCTGTGTCCCTTCTCTGGAACATCCCGTCTTTGTCCACCTTGTCTATTCGCGCAGTATTTTATATGTCGTTATCATGTCTCCCCTGACCCTGTCCTCCAGTGTCGTCAGGCCGATTTCCCTCAACCTTTCTTCGTAGGACAATCCCCGTAGCTCTGGGACTAGTCTTGTTGCAAACCTTTGCACTTTCTCTAATTTCTTGACGTGCTTGACTAGGTGTGGGTTCCAAACTGGTGCTGCATACTCCAGTATGGGCCTGACGTAAATGGTATACAGAGTCTTAAACGGATCCTTACTGAGGTATCGGAACGCTATCCGTAGGTTTGCCAGGCACCCGTATGCTGCAGCAGTTATCTGATTGATGTGCGCCTCAGGAGATATGCTCGGTGTTATACTCACCCCCAGATCTTTTTCCTTGAGTGAGGTTTGCAGTCTTTGGCCATCTAAACTATATTGTGTCTGCGGTCTTCTTTGCCCTTCTCCAATCTTCATGACTTCATTTGGCAGGGTTAAATTCAAGGAGCCAGTTGCTGGACCAGGCTTGTAGCCTGTCCAGGTCTCTTTGTAGTTCTGCCTGATCCTCATCCGATTTGATTCTTCTCATTAACTTCGCATCATCTGCACACAAGGACACTTCTGAGTCTATCCCTTCCGTTATGTCGTTCACATATACCAAGAACAGCACAGGTCCTAGGACTGACCCCTGTGGAACCCCGCTTGCCACAGGCGCCCACTCTGACACCTCGTCGCGTACCATCACTCGTTGTTGCCTCCCTGTCAGGTATTCTCTGATCCATTGCAGTGCCTTTCCTGTTATGTGTGCCTGATCCTCTAGCTTTTGCAGTAACCTCTTGTGAGGAACTGTGTCGAAGGCCTTCTTGCAGTTCAAAAATATGCAGTCGACCCACCCCTCTCTCTCTTGTCTTACTTCTGTCACCTTGTCATAAAACTCTAGTAGGTTTGTGACACAGGATTTTCCTTCCCTGAAACCGTGTTGGTTGTCAATTATACACTTGTTTCTTTCCAGGTGCTCCACCACTCTCCTCCTGATGATCTTCTTCATGACCTTGCATACTATACACGTTAGTGATACAGGTCTGTAGTTTAGTGCCTCATGTCTGTCTCCCTTTTTAAAAATTGGGACTACATTTGCCATTTTCCATACCTCAGGGAGTTGCCCAGTTTCAAATGATGTGTTGAAGATCTTTGTTAATGGCTCACACAATATCTCTGCTCCCTTTTTAAGGACCCATGGAGAGATGTTGTCTGGTCCCACCGCCTTTGAGGTGTCAAGTTCGCATAGCAGCTTCTTCACCTCCTCCTTGGTTATATGTACCTCATCCAGCACTTGCTGGTGTGCTCCCCTGTTCTGATTTCCTGGAGTCCTACTGGTTTCCACTGTAAATACCTCTTTAAATCTTGTGTTGAGCTCCTGACATACCTCTCGGTCGTTTCTTGTGAATTCCCCATCACCCTTCCTCAGTCTGATTACCTGGTCCTTGACTCTTGTTTTCCTCCTGATGTGGCTGTACAACAGCTTCGGGTCAGTCTTTACTTTTGATGCTATGTCATTTTCATATTGTCTCTGAGCCTTCCCTTCTTATTTTGCATAATTTTTTTGGCTTCGTTTCTGGCTCTTCGGCTAATCTCTTTATTTTCCTCGATTCTCTGTCTTCTGTACCTTTTCCATTCTCTAGTACACCTAGTTTTTGCCTCCCTACACCTTTGGGTGAACCAAGGACTCGTTCTGTTCTTCCCATTATTTCTGTTTCCCTTGGGAACAAACCTCTCCTCTGCCTCCTTGTATTTTGTTGCCACATATCCATCATTTCTTGTACTGGTTTTCCTGTGTTCCCTCTCCCACTGAATGTCTTGAAGGAAGTTCCTCATGACTGAATAGTTCCCCTTTTGTAGTTTGGTTTTTCCCAGCCTATTCCTGCTACTCTCTCCACTTGGAGCTCAACTATGTAGTCAAAGCACAGAACCACATGATCACTACTCCCAGGGGCCTTTCATACATGATACCCTCGATGTACGAAATACTCAAGGTGAATACAAGGTCCAGTCTTGCTGGTTCATCCTCTCCTCTCTCTCTGGTAATGTCTCTAACATGTTGATGCATGAGGTTTTCCAGTACCAAATCCATCTTTGGCCTCATGTTTCGGGACCCCCATGGGGCTCCAGGTTTTCCCAGTCAATCTCCTTGTGATTGAAATCACCCATAACTAGTAACTTTGCTCCCCCCATGTGTGCTCTCCTGGCCACCTCGGCT